TTTATAGTATAGATACGTTGTCTTTGAAACTAAGCTTTAATTATAGAAATGGATTAATCTATTCGCACAGAAGTAAACAATAACATAATATTATTTCCTCAAAGGATAGGTGATCAATGCTTTTTTGATATTAAAGTATATTAGGTGATATTATTATTCATATATTAATGCAAGAAATATTTTGTATCACGCGTACTAGTTTTCATTAATTTTTATAGATACACATAATGTAAAATTATGAAATCACTCGAGTGATGTATTGTTATTACATCAAGTTGGATTTTACAACATTTGAGTTGCTTGTAATGCCTACATACACGATAACACTGAACTCATTTTCCGCGAGTTTAAGTCCGCAAGAGCCGGGACATTGGATTAACGAAAGAACGGCCGCGTAGGCTGGCAGATGAGAAGGCAGCTTTGTAGAACGATATCGGTAAGTGGAAATCAGTGGCCGAGTGGCGCCTGTCGACTTGCTGTTACTCTCTCGCACCCTCTCTCAATCTCTTCCTCTTTCTTTCGTGCGTGCGCGCGCGCAAGAAATCCCACTACCTCCGGAGTATATACGCTCCTGGAATCGACGAGAAGCGAAGGATGCCGTCCGTATACCAGGAACTCGCTAACTTCATTAAAATATTGCCATCAACACGAGGACCATTGTTTTCGAGCAAGCCTTCTCGTCCCCTCTTAACCGGCCGATTAACCACCTCGAGAAACCTCCTCCAGGAACAGCTGACTGCATCCTCTTTGTACAAGCTACGCAAGAAGCGCAATTCTTGCGAACTCGCTTCGCGGCGAGCAGATCGTGCGTCGATTGAAGAATACGCATCGTGACTTGAGCCGCTTCAACGTTGCGGCTTTGAATTATTATATTACATTTTGCTAAACGCGTTTTTGTAATCATCAATATCTTTCCTAAGATTCCATATAGGTATGTGTCTTACAATTTCAATGACCGTATCATTCGTCGTATCTTCAACAATTAATTCGCTCTTTAAGGCTGAGGAGTTATTACAGCCATATTGACTGAAACGAGAAATGACACGTTAATTTTTATTATTATAATTATTATTTATAAATAAAAACAAGATTTGATGAAGATAAAATAAAATGATGAGATTGCTTTAAATTTATTCGTAAAAATTATTTGTAAAAATGAATGAAAACTATGCTTATCCTTCCTGACAGTCAGTAAATAATCATAAAAAGTGATAAAAGCAGACGAAGTGCTTTCATTCAATGTGTAGCATATTTTCACTTACACTTTTATCACTTTTTCATCAATCTCATCATTTTGTTTTATTCAAATTGTCTTTATTTATAAATGACAAGTAATAAAAATTAACGTGTCATTTCTTCCTTCTAATGTCATGATTCAATATGGCGATTACTCAAAAGCCTTAAGATCCCGTCTTGTTTTGAACGTATTTTGACCAAAATATCAGTCATTTGCTACAATATTGGCATAGTTAAAAAATTGTTATTATTGCTTGCAAAAGAACTGAAAATATAAAGAAAAAAGAAAGAATATACTTTTAAAAAACATATTTTTATTCCTCTACAATTAATTATTATACCAAAATTGAATTTCAATTTAATATTGCGAAATTTTAATGATTCAAAATATAGAAATTAATTTTCTGGAAAATTTTGCTTTTGCAAATTATGTCGTATTAAATGAACGTTATATTTTTTTGAAAGGATCTCACGCATGACGTTCACGGCAATAATTGTGTTGCATCTCTAAAGCCTGAGACACAATTGAAAAGCACAGGCAATAGGAATAACAGATTTCAATTGTATTCTGGTGTATTCTGATATATACACTTTCTGATAAGTTGAAATCTGTTATTCTCTGCTTCTATCGCCTGATGTGCTTTTCAATCACGTCTCCGGCTTTACATTAAAAAAAAAAAATGTTGAGAACCTCAAAGAACCGAGACTCGTTACTGAAGTTTCGCCGAAGCGTTCTTGTTTGCATTTGCAATACCTACGTTCGCATATACTTGATTCCGATCGACGGTTTTTCACCAACGCTAAAGACGATTAATGTCGGCGAGCATTCCGGCCGCGTCGTCGCGATCCGAGCATACATCGGATGTCGTCGTTAAACGGCATCGCTCGCGTTGCTTGCACATTGCGGACGACAAAGAGGACCTTCCTTCTAATGATCGCGGTGCCGCGCTCGACTGACGGAGGACACGAGCCGACGGGGTCCGTGCCTGTTCTCTCGACGACACGGACGACAAATCCGCCCTGTTGTCCTCGACATAACACTTGCGCTTCATCCCATCCCGTCTCGTCTTGTCTCGTTTCGGCTCGCCTCTCCACGCCGACCGGGCGCGGACCACGCACGTCGTACGAGGAAGCGGCGGTGAGCCCGTGCGGCTTTTTGCCGCGGGTGTAATTGAGCCTGTCCTCTTGTCTGGCTACCGTCTAAATGAATTACGGGATGAGATGAAAGAGAGAGAGAGAGAGAGAGAGAGAGAGAGAGAGAGAGAGAGAGAGAGAGAGAGAGA